GTTGTATCAGTGGTATATGTGTCTTTTTGAATCAACAAAGCACTCACTCCCTTTGAATATAGCATTACACCTGTCAAACATCTTCCAAACTCAGAAAACGTCAATGTCACAAAAGAAACTAATAATAAATGGATCAATGTGTGAGCAGAAGTCCTATCCCACTGACTTTTATCTCCATGGAAACCCAACAGAACATCGACCATCTGCCATGGAAACCGATCATTGGACCCAACTTGGCGTTGGGTCCAATGATCTGTAACCTCGCTCCTCCATTGACCTCCTCCACATCTCCACACCTGCCCATCATGCCGCTCCTCCTCCTCTCCCCAGGTCCTGGTCCCTCCTGCCCGCCTCATCGCCTCATTCCCATCTCTGTGTGGAGTGAGAGACAAATGCCCACAGCAATTGTGGTCTGTGAAAGACGCTATGTAAATAAAGATTACTTACTTACTTACCATGGGGAGTAGAGCCTTCAACTGCTCTGGTCCTCAGCTCTAGAACACTCTCCCCCCTGACATCCGTAAAACCGACTCACACACTTCAAATCCACCTAAAACTCATCACTCACACCAGAACTACACCATCCTCTGTTCAGGCTGCTTTAAACTTTGTATTTGAACTGTTCTTAATTGTATTTTTTACTTGATATTTAAGGCGATATTGATTGTCAAGAAAGGCACCTAAGAAATAAAATGTATTATTATATACCGCTGTACTTACGCCGCTCTCCCAAGGCTCAAATCATGAGGGTAACGTTGCAGATCCTGTTCAATACTTTGCTCCAAAATCCAAAATGGTGGTTGATGGTTCTGAATACAGATTACAATATGAACTCTACTCACTATGATGTCTATTACTTCCTGTTTTCTGTGATGTGTTTTCCTATCCTATCAAGTGGGCCCAAAGGCAGCGGTGAATGGGCAGCTTGGGAGAGAGTTCCACACCATCACTATATGAAAATTGTGATTCTGATTGGTCTGCTACCTCAGTTTAAAGGAGACATACTCTGAAAAAATATGAATGAAGGGTAAATTTAGCATAACTGATAATGGAGGTTGAGCTGGAGCAGGTAGGTGCTTGGAGCTGGAGCAGGTGAGTAACAGCAAACTGGCAAAAAGATCTGGAGCCAAGTAATAAAACAAAAACAGATGAAGAATTCCACTATGAGCCCACAAATAGTAAAAGGCCTGAGGAGTCTTCTGACGATCTGGCAGAGAACTGGTAAAATGCCCAGGTTTAAGTGCTAAGTGATGAGATATAGATGTTCACGCCAACCAGGACCAAGAAGCAGGAGCAGCCTAAAATGAAAACTTAAAGAATGAAAGAATACATATGATGCATTAGTTGCGTTAAGTTGTTCATACTTGCATGAGCCTTTGACATGGAACACGTTGGTGGCTTATTACCAAAACAAATGTGTGCTATTTTTGGCCCATTCACCGTAGAGGACACATTACTTCAGAAAAAGCCATTTAGTAAAATTAATAGTGCCCCTTAAATGTCAAATATGACTAATACACCACTGGCGCATGGGAAAAAGGACATGGGGGTTCTCGCTTTTTTGAACTAGCATCTGTCGCTGCTATAATTTACACAAAAGGGGAGAAATATTAATTGAGGCTTTGGAAAACAATGACACGCCTCGTTTACTTTGGCTCATAATTAAAGCTTATAGAAGAATACGAGAGTGTTTGGGCTGGAAATATGGCTCCGTCAACTGCGCGATCAATTTTCATTTAGAACTTTTACGATTGGTACAAAATAAGCTGCAAATCCGATAAATCTTGTACAGTCTTTTGGCGCTGGGGGATGATGTTTGCTCAGACGGGCATGTGCGGGTGGTTTGGATGGATCCGCGGGGGAAATGCGAGTCGGAGAGTGGGCGTGGAATAATCCAAATGATGGATTGTCTCAGGGTCTGTGGAGAAAAGGGCGAGGCAGCAAAAAGTCAAATGTGAAATAATAAAATGTGGCTGCGCTGGGCATTTAAAGTAGCAATATGATTTCATGTCAAGTCATTATTTTCATGTCAAGTCATTATTAAATGGCCCTAATATGTCAAAAGGCCTTAATATACCAAGCTCTTTTCCAATACTTCTTTAACTGATAATAGTAGTTTAGCCGAGATATTTGGCCTAAATCTTGTTATTGTTTTCTTTTCAATGTCCTGCCCTCCACTGTTTTACCAATCAGAAAGTCTGTGATCCGGGTTTTCAGAACCATAGACTGTATATATTAATGGACATAGTCACGCCTATCTCCGCCGTTCTAACTAATGGGCCAAAAATTGGGCTTTCGTGGAGTGATTCAAAATGGCCGCGGAGGCTGGAAAATGTGAAAAAATGCATCTGCGCATGCGTTCCCTCAGCATTGACACACATGTGGAACGGAGCTTTGGGCCAAGAGCCAACTTTCCTGTAAAGACGTTTTTGAGAGGTCAGCTAATGCTATATGTTAGCCTTGGCTAATTCTTATTCCGGGTCCACCCCCATCGGCCCGGGGTGGTATTGCAAGAATGTCAGCGCACATCATTTTAGCCACTTTTGAGCCGTGACCCGCCCCCACTGGTCAGAACTCACAGCCTTGAGCTAATCTCACTGGTAAAGTAACATGTGTCCGCAGGATAAAAAAGGTCTCGTTATAATTCTAAAATCATTAACGACAAAACAAGGAATCAAACGAGGATTTCTATTGGGGCCTTTGTGAAAAAGGTGTTGGTTATAAATATGAAACTCTCGCTGGATTCGTCTGCATATCTGGCAACCTGAGTCAGGGAGAGTGGGAGAGGTTGCAGTACCACCTTTGGCCAGATTTTTGTGTTTGGATTCTAACGTATGCAGGTGTGGTTGAATTAAAGCGCTCAAAAACCATTTTCAAACAATGAGAAAATATGCAACAATCCTTTTTTTAATTGAGCACACACAAACACATTCTCCCAAGTGAGATCTTTAAAGTGCAGTTCACACAAATCCACAGAAGACAAAACACAGAAAAGCACATTTTAATGGACAACATTGGCTTTAAATGACAAACACATTAACAGAAGGATTTCACAAGGTCCATTTTGGCGAGTTTCTCCAGTTCTGTACAAGAGTTATATCAGTTTTTTATCAAAGCACTTCTTCACGCAATGTTTTTTAAGGAGAGTTTTGCAGTCTGGTGAAAGGGCCACAGTGTGACTTTTCTCATGGGGGGGATTCACCGCCTGCTTGTTTCCTTAAGCTACTTCCATGTGAATATCAGCACAAACACATCCTCATATATGTCCAAAAGCAATGTTTTAACCTTGTTTTCCATGACCTAACCTTCAATTATTTTTTCGGAATTTCCTCCATCATTTTACAATCAATTAGGTGGTGCTCTGTTTGTGTTGTCTGCAGTGTTGGGGAGAATACACAATAGTAATACAGGATTTAGCAGCAGAATATTGATTTCCTCATTCACAATGTATTTTGTTATGCATTTTGTGGTTGTGTTTACACGGTCCAATACACTCTGATAATGTAAATAAGCCTTTTTTTGTATAAATTAGAGAAGAGATGAATAGGTAACTGTGATACTGTAGATAACACACTCACAAGTGAAAGTTTTCATTTGTTGTTTCGTAAACTATCTGTTCGCATCCTGCTGTAACTCCAGCCTAAATGGCAGAATCAAACACCAAAATGTATTTCCCTCTCCACTCATACTGTACTCTCTTCCAGCTCTTCTGGGGGAATCCCTGGTCGTTCCCAAGCCAGATAAGAGACATTGTCCCTTCATCGTGTCTTGGGTCTTTCCTAGGTTCTGGAACATGCCTGGAACGCTTCCCCAAAGAGTCGTTCAGGAAGCATCCCAAACAGATAACCGAGCCATCCCACCCTCTCTGTAAGGGAGCGCCCAACCACCCTGCGAAGGAAACTCATCTGGATGCTTGTATCTATGATCTCGTCCTTTTGGTCATTACCAATGAGAGTCCCTGGTCCCTTCAACTCATGGCCATAGTTGAGGTCAAGAAATGAATGGTCATATTTTTCAACATAATATCAGACAAAGAGCGATTACGGTCCATGCTCCTTGGTTTTGGAACGATCGGCCCAAGGAGATAAGGCCAGCTTCTAGAGCCATCTTTACTATCTTTCAATTTGTGACTATCCTTCCTTTAAATCAGGTGCACTTAATTTTTAAAATTTCTCAATAGAAGGTATACAATTGTGTTTTGGAACCAGAGGTGACAAGTATGTGTACTGTACTGTACTTTTTTGTACAGTATATAGGACTGTGTATCTTTACTTAAGTTTCAATACTTTTACCAGAGTAGAATTGTATACTAGTAAATATGATGGAGCACAGGGACTGGCCTCCTGCTGGTTCCAACGGTCAAGACTTAACATGGGGACGCAAATTTCAGATGCAAGCAAGTACAATCGGGAACAGTCTTGTAAAACTGGAACTGAAAATGTGAAAATCAATTTTGAACATTGTTCTTTTATAATGATCTTTCAAATATATGTGTGATTTATGACTTCACTCTAATTTGCCCTGTGTATGGGTATGTGTACCTAAGATCAACAGACCACCTCTCGTTGGTTCCCTACTGAAAATGAGTTTCTTTATTAGAAGGGTCCATCCTTAGACAAATCAAATGAAATCATGGAGATGGAAACAAGATGGCGGCTGCCCCTCCCTCAAAAAGGCTCTACAGTGCTCCGTTAAGACTGCAATCTCCTGCTTGTTCCATTGTTTGAGTTTGAGTTAAAAAGTCTTTTAGGTAGTCCTGTCCGGTGGGAGTTATTCCCCAGTCTCCAACACACCTCTCCTCTCGCATCCACTAACCCTCCTTTTCGCTGACCCTTCCAACGCTGCTGCTGCTAACTTTAGCTGACAGCTGATCTTCAGGGAGCGTGTGTCCAAGGCAGCCAAAACTGTACATCAGCTAAAAAAGTCCGGCTGATTCCCCGCGGACGCCCCAAACCATCCCCCGTTTCAGAATTCACGAGGAAAACCCATCAATAATCCTGCTAAATGTGGCCCGGTTTGGATAGGTACGCGATGAGGGCCACCACTACTCCCACGTAGACTCCCGTGCCGATTGTAACAGACAACGCGGCGAGGAAAAGCGCCCGCCGCGATGCGATGTTGGCCATGGAGAAGTCGCCTTTCTTCACGGCTTTGGTGGTCTGAAAAAGATAGAAAGGAGAAAAAAAAATCATTATTTCAAAGAGCTCAAAAGAAAGCATGACCTAGTTTCCACGGAAAACAAGATTGCAATTGCGTACGTTGTTTATGGAAGGTTTAAAAGAGGAGGAAAGAGAGGAATTATGTAGACAAAAGTGTGATTATGGTGTGAAAATGTCTTTCGCTACAGCGCCCAAGGGAGAAACGCAGGTCAAACATGTAAACTCAACACAAAAGACTCCTTGCGTTGTAAAGGATTTGAACCTATTGAAAAGACTAAATGTGCACAGTTTGAAAAATAACTTGTAATGAAGTGACAATTTTGTGGAAAAGGGCAAATCCAGTAAAAAATCAAGCATTGAACTTGCTTTTAACAGTATCCATTTTGACTGATTAAACGTCATATACCAGCTAATAAAACACTGCAGTCTTCCCGTCTACCTCTGTGTCTTTTGCGGCTGTATTTTACAGTTTGTGCATAGCTTTTTACAGCTGTAAAAACGCTCAGATCTAGATAGATACTGTAGTTAATTTATTGATCCCCGTAGGAGAAATTCATGTGTCCAGTAGCAGCGAAAACACATCCATCCGCACAAACAAACAAAAATAATTGATCATTCTAAAAAGGTCATAATAGTAATAATAAGCAACAGCACTTTAGGACACAGCAGCAGAGGTGGAGTAGCCGCTTGGTTCAGACCATTTTCTCTCCAAAGTAAAACGCTAAATACTTCATTAGCATTCTTCAAAAAGTTAGCATTCCTAGCATTGTTTTGGACCATGAATCCTCTCCACTCTGGTCTGGACCAAGGCAAAACTATGAACACTGTACTGGAGCAACATCTCAGGTTAAAAAAAGAAAAAAACAAATAACAAATGTAAAGCACAAAAAAAACAACAGTTTCGGAGCCTCTTAGGACTTGCTGCCGTTTCCAGCGCTTTCAAAAGTAAAAAGGTTTGTTATCTGCGTGCGTGGTGAGTTTTTCAACCTTTAAACATAGTGCTGCTGTTTTGGTTATTCATAGAACGTAACCCCCACAATAAGCAAGAGACCTCTGTATACAGATTTCAAGCGTGTTAATAGAATGAATAACATACTGTATCTGAAACATGATCCACAAAAAGTATTCACACGTCCCATTTGTGCAAAGACTGGCTTTCCATGGTGCATTTGAGCCTCGTAAAGAGTTGTGTTTTATTATATAGAGCAGAGGAACAAAAGAAAACTAAAGACATAAAAGTGACAGGGAGGATTTGGAGAACGTGGAGAAGGCAGCGGTTTTTCACAGACAATTAGAGTTGAGCTGTCAGACCACAGGTAATGATCACGTCAGGAAAAGTGGAGCACAGAACAGTCCACGGAAAAGGGCAGCAGCACAAACAAAGCAGAGGGAACACGAGTGCATCTTTACATGGATATGAGACATAACTAGGTGCACTGGTAACACTGGTGTCGGATATCCAATTAGTTTACTTTAGTAGGGCCCGATGGTCATATATGCACATACATATTCCTACTCCATGTTCATTTAATCTAATTGCCATCTAATTCTCAAAGCACCAGTCCCTCGCTGATCCTCCTGTAGGTTGTGAGTCCACAGGAAGATGGCTGCTCCTTCAACGGAGATACGACCTTGGTCTTTCAGCGGGGGCTTCAGGCAAAGTGGAGTTAAGTGTCTTGCCCAGGGACACAACGACAGCAGACATCAGTGGAAGCAGATGACATGGATTTCGGTGGACTTGAACCCACGACCATTAGTTCCAAAAACCAATGCTCTCTACCAACTGAGCCACTGTCGCCCCCTGGACATACTCTACGTGTTTATTGGATTAGGGTATTAATAGAATCTTTAGAAACTTTCAAAACAATGATCAGACATAACTCCCGCTCGGCCACAACAGTTTTATTTGTCTCTCAATGTTACTTGTCCAAATGTGAAGCGACTATTCTCCACACCTTCCCGATTGGTCAAAAATCAATCAAATCCATGAGGCCGTTTGTCATTGGTTCATATGTTCTCTTCCATCTTTTTGGTCTCTTTAAACATACAGTCTATCCATATATTTTCAGCTCAAACTAATTCTAAAACGTATTCAAACAGATTTGATAGTTCACACACCAAAGCAGACATTAAAAGAAAAACATGTTATAATTTGGAATTTTCAAAACAAGTCTACAAAATATTATTTTTTGCTCATTTTAAGTGGTTATCTGAAGCCATTTATTGTCAAATAAAATGTTTTTTGTGTTCAGCTGATAAGGTTAGAATCTCTAACCCTGATCTCCATCCTCCAGTTGTCAACAGTGTGCATTGCTTCTTTAACATCTGTGACAGCCTGAAGTCTTTTGTAGTGACTAAGGTTCTTTATCTTCTCTGATGGTACAGTGCTTTCTTCTTGACAAAAAGCCTTCAGTTCCTGTACCCTCCTGGGCCGACCTGCGTGAACTGCACATTTTGGAATCTCCTCCAGAGCGGCTTCATTTTGTTAGAATTGTTGTGCGGTGAAAAGGACCCGAAAAAGTAATATGATCTAATAATAAAACGAAAGTCCAAGGTGAAAACCAAACTAAAAAAATCCAATTGAATTTAGGAACCAGGGGAAATCACAGATAAAAGCAGTTTCCACCATCCCCACTCTACTCTACTCAACTCGGCTCTACTCTACCTGGTCGTGGTCCGCAGTAGATTGCATCCTAAAAGTAAGTACGTCATTTTTATTTATATAGCACATTTTTTACAGGCCAAGGTCAACTAAAGCGCTTTACAATTGTTCAGCAACCTACCTACGACAAACCAGTTTTCCGGCAAATACCTTGGTATAACCATGGCTTCCATCAGCACTGGCAGTTAGAACACTTTAGTTCCAGCTCAGCCTGGTTAGAAACGAGGCCAAGCAGGTGCCAAAATGCTTCCAATCAGGGTAGAGTAGAGCAGAGCAGAGTAGAGTAGAGCAGAGTAGATCAGAGTAAGGCTAGTGGAAACAAGAGGGGAAAAGCACATGGTAGACAAAGGGCTACACAGAAAACACATTAAGGCAAGGCAGATAATGAACATGGAACAGGAGGTACTTGCAAAAGTCCAGACCATGACAATAGTATGAAACCTGTGGCTGGGAATGAAAACACGCTTCAAGCACAAGTGTATTCTCAATATCATGTGCAGTATCTAGACCAAACATTTTATACTTTCTCCTTATTATGCTAAAGTCATGGGTTTTTGCCGCTTCTTTTTATGCTAGAGTTTAAGATTTTATTTCAATTTTAGTATAGATCTATTATTCATTTATCTTGTGCTGCAGTGCGCCTCATTTACTGTCTGTAGCTTGTGATGCAACACTGAAATTTCCCCACGGTGGGACAAATAAAGGCTCTTTCAATCTAAAAAACCCCACATAAATACTTTTTTAAAACATCCTCCACGTGCCTCTCAGTCCTCTCTGATTGCTTTCCATGATCAAATGCACAGATGTGGCTGTTTTTAGGTCACTTTTACATAAAGTGATCGTCTCCTTATCTCCCCGATGCATTATCTGTAGTGCGCTAATCCCACTGCTGCAAAACTGCGCTTTGTGGCCCCAGCTTTCTTCCTCTCTCCTTTGCTTTGTTCCAAGACGCTTTGAACACCCCTCGTTTTCCTCTGACCCAGTTAACTCAACAGCACTTAATGTTTATGGTCTGTCGTGTAAATCTCTACGGCCTTCTGCATATGGACTCACCAGACGCACACAACGGCTTTGTGTCCATTGTAACTGCGCTTTATTCTATTCCATAATAGCCGTTTCAGCATTTTCTTGCATGTGGCCGTCACAGGGATATTGCTGCGACGTTAAGGAAGGTAAAATATTTTTCTTTCTGATCTATAGATTCGAGGTGTTCAAATGCTCTACTTTAAGAAGAAGAAAAAAGGCATTCTAAAGGGGCCACAGGGAAATGATTTAAACAGGACTATGGCAAGCTGCTATTTTATCATCCGTGGGGAGCACTTGTTACGGCTGGCTCAGAGCAGTAACAAATAGGGAGGCGAAACGGGGGTAAAAAGTGCAAAAAGTGTATTTAGTGACAACAAAAGACAAGTTTAACATCAACAAAAACAAGGTATGAGGTGTGACCATGTAGTAATCAATGTGTGGTGCAGGTGTATGAGCGCAATGAAAGCCAGTGTGTTGTGTGCACTGAATGTGGTGAATAAAACAAAGACAAACTCAAATGTGCAAATACGGAATGAGCGTGGTGACTCCAGGCAGAGCCCACCAGGACAGGATCCAAACAGCAGCACAGGAGAGAGTGAGCAGCTCTCAATTCCCAGGGGAGAAGGTCCACTGATGAGGGGCGTGACATGGTGCAGGTCCACACCTGCGTCAGAGGATATGACGCACTACGTTGACAGAAATGTTGAAGTTGAATATTACTTATCCACATTGCAAATCCCGGGGGGAACAGGGCCTTTCTGAGTGGAGTTCACATGCATAATTGTTTTTTTTTATTTTTATGAGTCCATAAAAATGCTTATTACTACTGTACATACAAAACTTGAGCTCACTGATTCAGCGTAAAAGGGGCTGAGTAGAAACGTAGCGTGATGCCCGCTCTCCTCCAATCACAGAACGAAGCTGCGTCCTCTAGCCCAGTGTTTTTCAACCTTTTTAGAGCCAAGGCACACTGTTTTCATTGAAAAAATCTCGAGGCACACCACTAGGAGAACATTTAAAAATATATACTCCACAATTTACAGTAGTTCTCATCAAAGTGTTTTTAATAGACATGAACACAAAGAAAACATTATTTTGATCATTATTATAATTCTACTCACTCAGTGTGAAACCTGTGCCTGTTTGGATGAACACAGAACTGATATCCTGGCAGGAATAGAAGAAAGACACACACGAAGGTCTTCCTCAACAGCTCTCAGTCTTTCTCTGTTTTTAGTCTTTATAGCAGTCAGGCTTGAAAAGCTCACCTCACACAGATAAGTGGTTGAAAATGGGAGCAATGTCAAAATAG